ACTCACTCTTAGAAACATCCACTCTGCGCTTCATATTCAGTGACTTATTTCTTCCCCACAACAGCCCTGTTTATTTACACTCACTCTTAGAAACACCCTCTCGGCGCTTTATACTCAGTGACTTATTTCTTCCCCACAACAGCCCTGTGTGGTAAATACTGTTATTGCTCCCATTCTCCTGATGGCACAGAGAAGTTGAGCAAGTTGCCTGAGGTCACAACCAGTAAGCAGCTGGTCCATGGTTTAAACCTAGGGACTCGGGCTCTGAAGCCTGTGCTTTTTTTTTTCTTCTTTTAATTGATTTCAGAGAGGAAGGAAGAGGAAGATAGGAACATTAATGATGAGAGAGAATCATTGATCGGCTGCTTCCTGCACACCTCCTACTGGGGATAGAGGCCACAAGTGACCTCAGGACCTCCTGGTCAATGCTCAACCACTGAGCCACACCAGCCGGGCTGAAGCCTGTGCTCTTAATGGTGCCATAGCATTGCCTCAGCTTTGGGGTCAGGGCCCTGAGTTCAAATCCTATCTCTGCCATAGACATACTCAGAGATCCTGGGGAGACCCTTCTGAACCTCAGCCTACCCCTCTATAAAAGGGGAGTAATAGTGTCTTTATTGCAGGGTAACCAAGGTGCATTAATGAAAGACTGAATCTAGAGCATTCTGCATAGTGCCTGGCCTCCTGTAAATTCTCAGTTAGAAACACTGAGACTGTCCCCAATCTTCTTGATATCTTTTTGTTAACCAGGAACCCAATTCGGGCAGACTTAAGCAAATAGAAGAATTTATTGCTCTGGATCAGAAATGTCCAGGGGTGTCTGCCTTCAGGCATGGCTGTATCCAGGTGCTCAGATAATGTCTCTCAGTTCTGCTTTCCTGTGTATGGGCTTTGCAGTCCCCTCATAGCGGCAGAGATGCCCTCCACCCAGCAGTTTAAGGCTCATCCACTAGATTTAGCCCTTCTTCCTAAAAAATTCCAGGAGACCCCAGTCATATGCCTATGTTGCGGGCTCCATCCCCAGAAGGAGGCGTGCTGGAGGCAGCCCATTGACGTTTCTCTCTCTCTCTTCCTCTCTCTGCAATCAATAAAAACATTTTTTTAAAATATTTTTTTTATTTCAGAGAGGAAGGGAGAGGGAAACAGAGAAACATTAATGATGTAAGAGAATCATTGATCAGCTGCCTCCTGCACGCCCCCTATTGGGCATTGAGCCCATAACCCAGGCATGTGCCCTTGACCAGAATCAAACCTGAGACCCTTCAACCTGCAGGCTGATACTCTATCCATTGAGCCAAACCAGCTTGGGCAATAAAACATTTTTTAAAAATTCCAACAGAAATCCTGAGATTGAGCCCCATTGGCTTGTCTTCCTCATTCCTGAGTAAATTCCTGGCCAGGGAGATGGTTTCTCCAATAGCCCACCCCTTGCAGCTCCCCAAAGAGAAGTTGGGGGAATGTTACTAGGATGACAGATGGATTCTAGGAGCCTGTTTAGCTGACAAGGCTGCCGAGGTTCAGAGATATGAAGCAATTTGCCCAAGGTTGCACAGCCATAAGAGGCCTTCAACAAATAGCCAATGTTTGAGGTCTCTAGGGAGTGTGAGAGTTGGGGGTAGGGAGCTACTATGCTCTCTGACCCCTGTCCCCACCCTGTCCAGCCTGATGTGTGAGAAGCGGATCTTGGCAGCGGTGACCAGCGCAGGACACCCCTTCCTGGTGAACCTGTTTGGCTGTTTCCAGACACCGGAGCACGTGTGCTTTGTGATGGAATACTCGGCTGGTGGGGACCTGATGCTGCACATCCACAGTGACGTCTTCTCCGAACCCCGAGCTATGTGAGCCCGGCCCCCTGCACCCCATGCCTCAGCCCCTTCTCACTCCTCCCCCTGAAGATCCCACCTTCCTCCCTGCTCCCCCCACCAGCCCTTGGAGTCTGGTCAAATGGGGGGCTTTTGAGGATGTGGCATCCAGGTTTGTATGATCTTCCTTGTGGGGAGGCCTGGCTCCCTCACACCAGCCTCTCTCTGCAGCTTCTATTCAGCCTGCGTGGTGCTGGGACTGCAGTTTCTCCACGAACACAAGATTGTCTACAGGTGTGTGCGTGTGCGTGTGCATGCTCATGCATGCATGCTTTGCCTACTGGGGGGCCCTCAGGCTTCAGGCAGGGCCCCCATTCCCACTCATTCCTCTTTATATCCCCCAACCCCTCACAGGGACCTGAAGTTGGACAATCTGCTCCTGGACACGGAGGGCTATGTCAAGATTGCAGACTTTGGCCTCTGCAAGGAGGGTGAGGGGCGGGGCAGGGATCTGAGGGTATTAGACAGAATGGGGGGAAGGAATGGAGTCCCCAACCCTACCCAGGTTATCTCACAACCTCACCCTTGATCCTGGGACAGGGCTGGTGGGACCCCCTCCATCCTCCAATAATCTCACATGTCCCTGCTGCCCCAGGGATGGGCTATGGGGACCGGACCAGCACATTCTGTGGAACCCCGGAGTTCCTGGCCCCCGAGGTGCTGACAGACACGTCGTACACGCGGGCGGTGGACTGGTGGGGGCTGGGCGTGCTGCTCTATGAGATGCTGGTTGGTGAGGTGAGGCCACAGGCTGCCCCCACCCTGCTTGTCCCTGGGATGGCACTGGAACCTGCGTGTGCCCAGGGGTGGAATCAGAATCTGCCTCCAACACGCGTTGTGTGACCAGGGGCAGGTGGCTTCTCCCTGGCCTTAATTTCCAAATTGTAAAGTGGGGTACATACCCTCTGTGTGCAGGTGCAGCCAGAGCAGAGGGCTTTGGGGCTGGGTGTGGCATGGCCAGAGGAGGTGCCTAATTCATTCACCCTGTTCTCCCTGCTTTCTCCCTGTTCCCAGTCCCCGTTTCCAGGGGACGATGAGGAAGAAGTATTTGACAGCATCGTCAACGATGAGGTTCGCTACCCCCGATTCCTGTCAGCTGAAGCCATCGGCATCATGCGTAGGGTGAGGACCCCCGAGCTGGGGTGTACTGGGGAGGGCTCTGGGGTCCGGAGGGAAGACTGATACAGTGCCCCCACGCGCAGCTTCTGCGGAGGAATCCGGAACGGAGGCTGGGATCCAGCGAGAGGGATGCGGAGGATGTGAAGAAACAGCCCTTCTTCAGGGTGAGGACCCTCATCCTTCCAAGGGCCAGGCCATTTCCCCTCCCTTGTTGCTTCACCTTCAACATCGTCACCCCTGCCTTCCCCCTCCCTCACCCTCACTGACCCTGCTACACCCATACCGCCTCCAGGCTGGCTGAGTGTGAGACCAGGCTCCCCTGATCCTTTCGGGCCTCCCAGCCCCGCCCACTCTGCCCCGCTATCCTGTGACTCAGAGGGACCTCCACAGATCCAGAGGTGGAGGGGGCGCAAGGGGCTGGCCCCTCATGCCCGCTGTGCCCCAGCCCCCCACACTGACCTCCCCCCACTCTCCCTGTAGACCCTGGGCTGGGACGCCCTGCTGGCCCGGCGCCTGCCGCCGCCCTTCGTGCCCACGCTGTCAGGCCGCACAGATGTCAGCAACTTTGATGAGGAGTTCACCGGGGAGGCCCCCACGCTGAGCCCGGCCCGGGACTCGAGGCCCCTCACAGCCGCGGAGCAGGCGGCCTTCCGGGACTTCGACTTCGTGGCCGGGGGCTGTTAGCCTGCTCCCCTGCCCTTGCTCCCTCCCAGCTGTTGTTAGTTTTTAAAAATGCCTTTGGGGTTTGCCCCCTCCATGCATCCCTGGCTCTTTTTGTTCACAGTAATGGGAATGGAGGGGCGTAATGAGAGGTGGGGAGAGTCGGGTGGGAAGATGCCTTGGGTTATGCTGGGGGGTAATTGGAAGGGAGTCGGGAGGATGGGAACTTGGGGCTGTCACTATGGTAGGGAGCATGGACAGGCCTTGGAGGGAGGGGTTCAAGGCTGTGATGGGGCGTGGCTTGGGGGTACAGCCTTGGGGCTGTGTTGGGGGAGCTCAGAGCCCCCGTGGGCGAATGGCTGCGGGAGTCCGTCCTGGCAGCGGCAGGGCCAGAAGCACTCCACCACCCTCACTGTTCCCACTCAGCCTGGAGCCTGGGGCTGCGGTGGCAGCACTCTGCGCATGCTCCTGCGGCTCCGGCTCCGCGTCAGGCGGCCTGGGCCCCCGCGCGGCCAGTTCCGGAACTGCACCGCCGGAGGCGCGCCCTGGCCTCGGCCACCCCGCAGCGGCCACACGTGCTGAAGCACCAACGGGACACACCGCCCTGGGCTGGTCCGCAAAATGGCTTTATTCCTCGTAGGCTCCGCGCTGCGGACCTTGCCCGGCATGGAGTGGTCTGGCTTAGTTGCTGGGCCTCCGGGTGTGCCTAGAAGTGGCTGAGGCCACTGTGCCGGGAGCTGCGCAGCGAGCTGGCCTCCCAGGTGCTTCTGGTTAGACCCAGCGCGAGGCTGCCCTTGGCGCCTGGCCTCCGGGGCAGGAGGCGAAGCAGTTGGCGCAGCACGGCTTGGCGCAGCAGGATATACACCCAGGGGTCCAGGATCTGGTTCCACGAGGCGAGGCGCACGGCCATAAACAGCGGCCTCTGCAGGGAGCTGGAGCCCCAGCCCGCAACGGCCAATACCACCAACACCTGCGGGAGAAGCCGCTGTGAGCGGTGGCGTGATTGTCAGAGAAGGGGCCCAGCGATGGGTGGGGCTGGGGTGGATGGGAGCTTGACTGGAAGGTAAAGGGGCTGTGAGCGTCACGGAGGAAAATGGGTGTCTTCGTGAAAAGGAGCGATGGAAAGATCGGCGAGGAAGCGGGGCCTTAAAGGACGCGGAGAAGCAAAGGCCTTCATTGAGTGGGGCTCGGACTAGAAAGAAGAGAAGTCCCAGGTGTCCCAAAGGGCAGAAGGCTGAAGGGAAGAAGAAAAACGGTGTATGGGGGTGATAGGGGGAGGGGGGCGGAGCCAGAGAATGGAGTGTCAGGGCCTAGAGGTGTGCGGCTGGGGAGGAAGCTTGTGAGGTTGGGGTGAACTCCGAAGACCCCAAGAAGGAGTAAGATCAGGGAGCTTGGAGGAGGGGTGGACGTCAGGGAGAGGGCAAAGGGCGGGCTTTCTTGACAGGTGGGGCTTGAAGGGGGCGGGACTCTGGCTGGGGAAGAGAGGGGACAGGAATATCCGCGGATGGAAAAGGTAGTAGGGGCCCGGGCGGGAGCAGGCAGAACTTGGCTGAAGGGGCCGGTGCGCCCCTCACCAGCAGCGGGCTCCAGCAGATGCACGACACCACCATGATGCCCACGAGCTGGCCCACCATCTCCACGTCGTGGGCGCG